GAAATTATTTTCTTAATTTCATTTTTGGATTGTTCATTGATGGTGTGTAGAAGCATCTGATTTTTTAAATTATATTTTATTGTTTATACTATTTCAGTTGTCCCTTGCTACCCAGCCCCTCCCCCACCCCTCAGGCAATCCCCACACTTTTTTCCATGTCCATGCGTCATGCATATATGTTCTTTGGCTACTCTGTTCCCTATGCTGTACTTTACATCCCCATGACTATTCTATAACTACCTATTTGTACTGCTTAATCCCTTCACTTTTTTCACTCATTCACCCAACCCCTCTCCCATCTGGCAGCCATCAAAACGTTCTCTAGATCTATGATTCTGTTTCTGTTCTGCTTGTTTATTTATTTTGTTTTTTTTAGGTTCAATTGTTGATAGATATGTACTTATTGCCATTTTATTGTTCATAGTTTTTATCTTTTTTCCTTAAAAAAAGACCCTTTAATATTTCATATAATACTGGTTTCGTGGTGATAAACTCCGTTAGCTTTTACTTGTCTGGGAAGCTCTTTATCTGCCCTTTGATTTTAAATGAGAGTTTTGCTGGGTAGAGTAATCTTGGCTGTAGGTCCCTGCTTTTCATCACTTTGAATATTTCTTGCCAACCCCTTTTGGCCTTCAAAGTTTCTTTTGAGAAACAGCTGGCAGTCTTATGGGAACTCCCCTGTAGGTAACTAACTGCTTTTCTTCTGCTGCTTGTAAGATTCTCTCTTTGTCTTTAACCCTTGGCATTTTCATTATGATATGTCTTGGTGTGGGCCTTTTTGGTTTCATCTTGTTTGAGACTCTCTGTACTTCCTGGACTTGTATGTCTATTTCTTTCACCAAGTTAGGCAAGTTTCCTGTCATTATTTTTTCAAACAGGTTTTCAATTTCTTGCTCTCTCTCCTCCTTCCAGCACTCCCATGATATGAATGTTAGAATGCTTGAAGTTGTCCCAGAGTCTCCTTATACTATCCTTAGTTTTTTGGATTATTTTTCCTTCTTTCTGGTCTGATTAGTAGTTTTTGCTTCCTTATATTCCAAATCACTGATTTGATTCTTGGCTTCATCTACTGTACTGTTAATTCCCTGTAAATTGTTCATTTCAATTAGTATATCCTTCATTTCTGACTAGATTTTTTTATGCTGTTGAGGTCCTCACTAAGTTCCTTGATCATCCTTATAACCAATGTTTTGGACTCTGTCTCTTATAGATTGCTTGTCTCCATTTTGTTAGTTCTTTTTCTGGTGTTTTGATCTGTTCTTTCATCTAAGCCATGTCTCTTGTCTTCTCATTTTGGAAACTAATGCAGTGTGTTATATGAATTGACTTTCAGGTGTTAAATAAGTCTTGCATTCCTAAGATAAGTCCCAGGTGATCATGGCATATAATCTTTTTTTATATGTTTCTAGATTTGGTTTGCTAGTGTTGTGTTGAAAAATTTCCAGTACATATTGATAAGAGACACTGGTCTGTAGTTAGTTGTGTGTGTGTGCACGGTGTCTTTGTCTGGCTTTGGTGTCAGGTTAATACTGGGAAGTGCTATTTCCTCTAGTGTTAGCATAGCCACTCTCACTTTGTCATAGTTGCTATTTATGTGATATATCTGTCCATCCTTTTACTTTCAACCTATTAGAAACCTGTCTTTAATCTAGTTTTCCTATATAATAGATTTCAAGTTGTTCTGTTCTAGTAAATTCTCCCTCCTCTAATATTTTTGGACATGTCACAGCTTCCCAAAGTGCTTCACTGTTACCTGTTAGCTTTCTTTAATCCTGCTCACTCCTTTGTAAATAGATGTTTCATTGAACCCTGTTCAAACACCTGCCTTCAGTGTGTCATCTATTTCTTCATAGGAGCCTGTGAGACAAGCCATACACAGGTTGATAATGAAATTACTCCATTACTCTTTGGTAGAATTACAGAGAAAGCAATATATGTGGTTTTTTTTAAAGGTATCACCATGGTCCTAACTGGTGTGGCTCCATGGGTTGGGAGTCATTCTGCAAACGGAAAGGTCACACGTTCAATTCCTCGTTAGGGCACAGGCCTGGCAATGCCCAGCCGGTGGCGTGCGAGAGGCAACCAATCATTGTTTCTCTCACATGTCGATGTTTCCCCTTTCTCCCTCCCTTCCCATCTCCCTAAAAATAAATAAATTTTTAAAAGTAAAAGTATTATTATGATATGTGCACTGCAGCTAATAATAGCAAGGGTTACCATTAATTAATTGTATTTTTAGTTGTATACTATACTTTTTTATTGTATTTTACTGTTTATGCTATTATAGTTGTCCCTGCTTTTTCTCCCTTTGCCCCCCACCACCCAGCCCCTTTCCCTTCTCTCAGGAGTTGTATACTATCCTTTAATCCTTTAAATAATCCTATGATATAATAGTTATCATCATCCCCAGTTTATGCATGAGGACACATGAAGTATCTCTGATTACTGTGAATTAATGTATTGTCACTGTTTTCTTTTGTAGATCATTCCCGAGAAGTCTTGGAGCAATTAAGAGGCCCAAGCAAATTAAAGCAAGTGACATGGACTGTTTACTGATGCTTATTGAAGCTGTGCTCTCCATACTACCAGGAAATGGTGGTCTTGAAGATTGACTTTCCAACACACAGTGTGGTTTGTGACTTACCAGACTCTTAAACACTTTAATAGTGCTGTTATTCTGTGTTTGTTTGATGAGTCATTGTTTTTGAATGGTAATCTTAGCATGCCTTCTGATGGGTTTGGGGGGGGAGGTGAGGGCTGTGTTTGTTTCTTAAATAACAATGTTTGTAAATTACCTGTTTTCCCTGGAGATTTCGTTTTCCTACCTAGATACTTGAGCTTTTGTAAAAGGAATGCACCAATATGGATAACTTCTAAGTGAAGGTATTTCTAAAAACATAATTACCTTTTTAGCTATTATCTGGCTCCTACCTTCCTGATACATTTAAATGCCCATTGGCCAAAAGCAAAGGTGAACAAAGGCCTGTAAATTCTTTACTGAATTTAGCATTTCAAGGAAACAAATATCATATTTAATGTCATAATCCATGACTCATACCCCTTAGTCCTTCAGCATATGAAATGTTACTGAGGCCCTTGCCCAGTCACTTATTCTACTGATTTTTATGGGGAAAAGGGTTCCCAGACTCAATTCCAATTTGTAGTGCACGGGATAGAATCAGATTCTATTCTATGCTGGGGAGGGAAACAGAGGCGACAGGTTAAAGGTTCACTGCTACAAGACTGCCCCCTGCTGCCCTCCCCCCACACATACACTTCAGACACCTGTTGCCGGTTGTTACCTGTGCTTCTGACCAACTGGCTACAAACTGGAGGTCCCCTCCAGGGGACCCCCAGGACCCCTTCTCTGGGTTGGATTAATTTCCTAGAAGGACTCACAGAACTCAAGAAAACCTGTTTACTCACTAGATTACCAATTTGTTATGAAGAATAGTCAAGGCTAAGAATCAACAGCCTGATGAGAAGAGATACATAGGGAGAGGTCACAAAGGAGCCTTCTCTCCTCATGGAACTTGCGCCCAGAGCAGTGACAGGTTGGAAGGCTTCCAGAAGCTCTCCGAATCCCCTCCCTGTGGTTTTTATTTTTAATCCTCACCTGAGGATATATTTATTGACATTAGAGAGAAAGAGGAAGGGGGACAGAGAGAAATGTCATTGTGAGAGAGAAACAGATCAGTTGCCTCCTGTAAGCACCCAGGGATCAAATTCACAACCCAGGTATGTGCTGTGACCAGGGATCAGACCCACAACCTTTTGGTATACGGGACGATACTCCAAGCAACTGAGACACCCATCCAGGGCCTTGGAGATTTTTGTGGAGGATTCATTACTTGGCAAGATTGATTTATTCATTAATTATTGGTGATTGATTCAACCTCTAGTTGCTTGCCCCTCCCTAGAAAATAGGTGTGGGGTGGAAGGCTCCAACCCTCTATTCAAGGCTGGTTCATGGCAGCCAGCCCCCATTCTCAGTTGCTTTGCAAAAGTCACATTCATTAACATAAACCCAGTGATGATAACAAGACACCTTTTCATCTTTATGGTTCTGTTCTCAGGAACTGAGAATAAGGGACCAAATTTATAATAAAAGATGTGTCATCGATCTTATTCTGGGAAATTCCAAAGGTTTGGGCAGTATGAGCCAGGCATTGTGGATGAAGACCAAATATATCTGAGAAATGTATTTTGGACACCTGAAAAACCAAATATATATTTATATACCATGAAATCACATTTCCCAAATACTGCTCTCTACCTATGAACTTTCTCTCTCAAAAAGTGCACTCAGAAATGTGTAAGAATGAGTAAATACAAAACCTCTCCTTACAGAGGTTGTATCCCGCAGCTCTGCTGGTTCTCCCTTGTGAAGTAAGCAGCACGGGCCTTACTTTTCAAATGGAATGCATTACTCTTCCACAATCACGAAGTCCTCTGAAGTGGCCTATGCTTAAACTGCCCCCAAGTTCAGCATTTCTTGTGCCGGGAGCCTGTCTCGGTGGTACTTTCTTAAAGACTTCTTATTTTAACTCTGATATGGGAAAAAACAGGGAAAGTAGGGTGTGGTAAATTTCTTACACTGTTTAGAGGAAGGATTTACATAGTCAGCTCTATTTTTGTCCTTACTATTCACTACTTTATAAATGTGGTATGTTTATAGTGTGGAGATAGATATATAGATATACAATGCACTACTAGGCTACGTTTTATACTTGTAACGTATACAGTGGTGGTGTTTATAGCAGTTTTAAATTAAGGCACAGAAAATACAGAACATACAATTAGTACAAAATTATAAGACCCAAAGGTAAAAACTGGGTCTCCCTCCCACCCCAGTCCACTAGCTATCTGGTGTCCTCTCAGAAGACAACCACCATTACCAGTTTTTAATTAATCTTTCCAGGGGTATTCTATGTATACAGCAAGCAAATATGTATTTTATATACACACATACAGACTTAAAAAGATTCTGGAGGCTTTGCTAGAAAAAAATGACAAAGATTTATTCAAGGGTCTTAGAGTCTGCAAACTGGAAATACAGCTAGGCAAAAACCCAGAAGTATTCCAGAGAAGAAGAGTTAAGCATTCTTATAGTAAAAGCCATGTCTTCGAGAATCATCAGCCCTGCATTCTCAGCCGTAGGATTGGTCCCGGGTGGTTACCAGCCAATGTCAGAGGTCTGAATGATGGATGCCAGGGGGTCTGGAGGATGGGCACCAGGAGGCCTGGGCACATCCCGAGTCCTTTAGGGGGTAGTCAGATGGTTATTCAAAGGTAAATAAATGTCTGGGCATTGACATGGGTCTGGAAAGTTCAAAAGTTTAAGTTCCCAGGGGCGTTAAGACAAGGAAAAAAAACACATTTCCTTATACCTCAAACTTTATAATATTAATAATTTAACAGCTTGGTTAAAGTGACTCCATTTTGTATTTTCCCTATCTTCATTCTTTTCCTCAATATATACATACATCTTTTTTACACAGTGGAATACTACACGCATTCTTCTTCACATTGTTTCTCGCTTACATCATAGTGTTTTTTATTGATACATAGGATCCTCTAAATCTGAGACATGTAGCAGGGGCATATCCAATTTCTAAGAGGCATAAGTTGTCAGTACAGAGTAGGCAGGAAATTTTAACATCTTTTTTTATCCATGGTTGTCAGATTTAGTCCCTATTATGTACTAAATACTATATTCTTCAATATTTTGCATTTTGTTTAATTAAATAACATATCATATAGTTGTCCTTAACTCCAGAAACAGACTCTGCTACAATATCAAATTCTCTCCACAACTTAAATTACATGTTGCTACCAGTTACATATTGCCTTCTATAATTACATTCCTAGAGCAGTAAAACTAGAAAAAAATTCCGGATACAGATTTATATATTTGGCATAATGCAGAACTAGTTACATGACAAAACTTGAAACCTTCATATTTCGGAAACATTTGCCATTTAATAGGAACTGCATTCTTCAAACTGGAGAGTCCTTTAGGGTTAAGCCCAAACATAACTACATCCGTACTTGGAAGCAGTTGGACAACTCAGGGCTGGAATTCCCACACTGTGCTTGTTGTCAGTCCATTGTTTTCCTGCCTCGTAGCTTCTGGAAGGGAATATTCCACCACCTTGTGCAGCTGATGCTGAATGCTGTGTCCTCTGAACTGGGGTCGGCCAGGGTCACCAATCAGTACTTGAGTTCTGTGGGTCCAAAAGCAGTCCTTCAGCCATCGATGAAGACTGTCTGCAAGGTCTTCATCATAAAACATATCTCCAAGCACAATAAGGTCCCACTTATCTTGTTCCAAATCCAAAACATTTTTGGTTAAAATGGGGAAAGGATTCAGTTGGTTCAATTCACAATTTAGTGTGATAGCCACTCCTGCAACTTTAAAAAAGCACATGATGAATGGGTATATACTAGGCTGTTTTAATTCCCTATTGATTAAGTACCAATAATTTAGAAAATCTCCTAACAATGTTTCTTCCCTTTTTTCTTGAAAGATGTTTTTAGGTAAGGAGGCCTAGAGTGTATTCCAGTATAAGCTATTTATTGAGATTTTCAAATATATAAATGGATATCTCAAATACAAAAGAAACAATACAATATACCTGGAAATGTTGGGGTTTGAAGGAACATTTGCCGATCTTAATAACCACAAGGGTTGATTTGTTACAGGAGACAGGGAAACAAGCCTTGTGCTTGAGCAAGGTGGTAAGTTAAAACTGGGTCCCCTGTACAAGGATTTTCAAGGACTAGATCCTCGGTGAAAGGGAGGACTGGGAGGAAATCACATAAAATTGAAACTTATCTGTTTCAGCTTGGCTTCTAATAAAACAAAATCGCCCTCAAAGACACAGACCCATCCTCACTTGGGTTTAGGATCAAATGAACTCAACCAAATATTTCAATAAATTCCTAGCCCAGAAGTAACAGTAAGTGTTCTCAGGTTGCTATCACTTGGAGATATCCGACACACAAATACTAATCCTGGGGGAAAATGCACTGTCAACTCACGCCTCCCTGAATTCCCACAGATAATGTCCCGCTGACTGTAAGTTCACAATATCTATCATAAAATGCACATGGGTACAAGCCATCATGTTGAGGCACCTGTAGATATTTATCCTGGAAGGGAAAGAGGATGAGCTTTACATAGTTTTAAATATGAAATCCTTACTAGGGTCTATGTCGTTGGCCAGGATCCTGCATGCCCCACTCATCTTGGCAGCGATAGCTGTAGCTCCACATCCACTCCCAAGATCTAACACAGATTTTCCTCTGACAACATTGGGATTATCCAAAAGATACCTAAATTAGAAAGAAAGGGGATTATCTAAGAGATGGGAGAAACTCAGTAAGAGCTGTCCAACAAAATAATTCCTTTGGGTTCAGTGGACAAAGAAATAGTAAAAGTTAGCAGAAGAACCTGGTCCACCCTTAGCAAGTTTGGCCTGACTAGAGTGAGACAAAATACTGACCGTGAGAGCTAGGCAAAGGTGGCAGACAGAGGACCCGGTCATTTGATTTCTCTTCAGCAGGTGTGAAGAGCAGTTCCACACCACTGACTGATCAGGCTCTTCAAGTCCACTGTTTAAAAGTATTGAGCACTTACTATGATCCAGAAACTTCCAAGAACCAAGAATACAGACTGACAAAATACTACTATAATCAGGACTTAGTACACCAGATCCAAAATCCACCATCTTTCTCTTTTTCCTTTTGATCCTCACCCAAGGGTATATATTTATTGATTTTAGGGAGAGGAAGGGAGGGAGAAGGAGAAACACTGATGTGATAGAGAAACATCGATCAGCTGCCTCCCATAAGCACCCCAACTGGGGATTGAACCTGCAATCTGGGTATGTGCCCTGACCGGAGATGGAACCCACAGCCTTTTTGGTGTACAGGGTGATGTTCCAACCACCCGACCCACCGAGCCAGGCCCCACCATCTCCTTTTGATTGTTCATCAGAGTGGTTTTACCGACTGCTTGAATTGTCTTATAATGACCTCTCTAGTAAGGTACCATCAAAGTCCAGTTCAACCGAAGAATTTAGACCATGGCTAAGTAGTTACCAAACAAGAGAAGATGAGTGGGGAAACACTGAGATAATGAATTTCAATTGACACTTGATCTTAGTGTTGGAATAAAAAAGAGCAGGACTATAGCATGGTAGTGGTGTACATGCCCCGTCTAAAGGGACAGCTGCTACCCCTCTTCCGTCAATTGTTGCCACAGAAATTCCATGTTATCAGAGATTATTCCTGTTTCTCAAGCCAATGCATATTTTTGCTGGCAACTGATTTTTTTTTAAGTTTGCAAGTGTGCTGAGACACCAGGGCTGATGTGTTGAACTAAGAACATGCAGGTGAGGGAGGGCCTGCTAAATGAAGGCGCACAAGCCACCTGCGCCGAAAAAGCAGGTAGCTAACTCCCTCTAAATACAAGCTTCCACTTTAGGAAGGTGAAAACCATGAGGGCATTTTGATTGAAGGCACAGTTTCAAAACACCCACAAAGGAAATAGAATCATAAGATTCATTACTTCCAGATCCCAGCAGCAAAGGGGCACAATGAGCTGGGGGAAGGGCAGTCCTCTGTCCCAGATGACTTGGGGCAGAGGTCGCTAACTCTTCAAGGGCTTAACTCTAAGTGGTTATTTTAAAGGGTGCCCTGGGAAAGGCAAAGCAGGAACTTAAAACAGGCATCCTAAACTTGTGTCCTTATATAAATGCCCAGACTCGGGGTTTAAGCAGGGTTATCACATTGTAAAACGCCTAGGCAGCAACTTTTTTTTTTTCATCACAATAAGTAAAAGCCAAACAACATACATTTGTGGGTCAACAGTTTGTATTCCCTGATTCAGGCAGTCTCTTAAGAAATTTGATTGTCTATTTGGAGTTGATAAACAGTAACTTTCATAGAAAACAGTCACTTATAATGTCAGTACTTTTTAAATATGATGTGAGCAGGAAAGCTTGAAAATATAGCAACACAACAGTCAGAAAATTGATATTGTTTGATACCACCTGAAAAGCTTCCCAGTCCTCAGTATTCTCCAAAAAGTTCTATGTTTGCATTTATTTTGCATGTAAAACTATACAGCCCTGGCCAGTGTGGCTCAGTTGGCTGAAGCATCATTCTCTACATCAAAAGGTTGCAGGTTCAATCCCTGGTCAGAGTACATATGGGAGGCAACCAATCACTGTTTCTCTCTCTCAAATCAATAAATGTATTTTTAAATTACATATAGCATTAATTCCTGTGAAAGAGAAGTCCTTATCCTTTTTGTTTCACAGTTCTGTAACCTCAAAGCATAAACAGAGGAAATCATTTACCAGTCTAAGAGCAAAGGCTAGACTGAAAGCTGAGAGTTCCTGCCTTTGTTTCAGCAGCTGTGTTTTAATAAAAAGCATAGTGTGAATGTGTGAGAAAATGTCCTAAAGACCTTTGCAGTGTGGAAAGCTGGAGGGAGGAAGCTTAAAAATGCAGATTCAAGTCGTGAGTTCACCTGAGCTATCAGCAAACCACTAGAGAAGAGAATTCCCTTGAGCCTATTCACTCACTCACATCTCTTGTTCTTTGGGAAACTGAGAAGAGGCAATGATGGAGGGAGTGTGAGGCTTAAGGAGCAACATTTTCAGGATTAAACTAGGAGAGCTGGAGGACTGGGGCTGTAGGTTCCATCTGGGAGCTGTGCACTGGCCATACATTATGAACCATGAACCTGCGAACACTGTAAGATCTGCATATTTATAGCTATCTCCAGCCTTGACAGCTGACCCTAGGATTTCTCTTGCGGAAAGATCTGTATTGGGATAAATACCTTGATAAGCTTGGAGTAAAACTATGTAACAAAGGAAGCCAAAATTTTAAAAAAATTCTTAAACTGCTCTAAATTAAGAAAACAAGAGGAATGTTGGGTTTTTCTCTGTTTCTTTGTGAACAGCAGGGAGAATGCAGAGCTGGAGGGCGCTGAAAAGAGAGAGGTACTATCCTTACAGGTTCCTGTTTCAGCTAGGGCTGTACCTAGATAGGGCTTGGCCTCCTGGCCAGTAGATTGCCCAGTAGGGATCGCTGTGGGGCCACAGGTCAGCTCTTTCCCACCAGAACTTGCATCTGGGGGTCAAAAGCCGCAACCGGATTTCGGGAGTGAGACTGCCACTGCTGGTGACTTCAGTGTTCTCCTCCAGGAACGCTTTCATCTCAGGGTCCAAAGAGCTTCCCGTGCCTCTCCAGGGGCAGTGGCCCCAAGGAAATGAGGAAAGACCACTGCTTCTTGGGGCCTTCCGAAAGACACCACAGTGGGTCCCTGGAAGCAGTGCAAATGCTCTCCAACCTGGGCTCAAAGCCATCAGTCCTCTTCCAGAACACAGGTTCTGTCACTGCTGTTGATAAGAGCTGCTCTACTCCTTACAGGCCAAGTACGTGATGTCGACTGGAATCTCTAAATCTCTAAAAACAGAAACAGTGCTGAAAATTCCAAGGCTCATAACACTTCTAAATCCTACTACATGGTAAGAAAACATTACACTATAAGCTCTGTAGCAGATGATCCACAAGAACAAGTTCATTCAGATCAAAGCACTGGTGCATACATTTAGGAAAATCCAATCTTTTAAAAGCATGCCTTTTCACAACAGAATCCTTTTATAATAATTTCAAACAAATATACAAGCATTTGATTTTGAGAGAACTCTTCAGAAACAATGCTTGTTATGTAAGATAAGGTATGCCTTTAAAATTTTTTTATACATTCAATCACTTACCTTTAAGGAGGCATGGTGCTTGGCAACTGTGAACAAAAGTCTGAGAAGCTTAGATTCTAGTGCTGGGATAACGCGATTAACAGGCAAACAGTTTTTGCCTTTGTGAATCGAGTCACGAGTTGTGGAGGCTAACAAACCATAATTCTGTGTAAGCAGAGGTATATGGATTACACTGACCGGCCACACTCCGCTTCAATAATGATTGTCATGGCATAAAACATCTATGTAAACAAGATTCAGGCTTTTCCCTTTAAAAAAAAAAAACCACAAAAAACTTTGGGGATTTCATTGTAATAAAAGACTATCAACTCCCAAATCTCCTTCTATAAATATGTGATGATTCATCTTTACCAAGCCTGGGTTGAAAAGACTTGTTCTAAGAGAAAAACCTTGAAAAGTAGGAATGTGGAAAAAGTAGGAATGTGGAACAGCAGTGGAAACACACATTATACACAAATTGGTTTGGGATCTCTGGTCTGTTCTACCTGAATGTTTTTAAACAGCCTTATTAAATATTAATAAGTCTTATTAAATATTAAGACTGCCCCACCTAAGTATTTAGAGTAGGGGCCCACAACTCAGATGCCTACCCGGAGGCAGACGGGTGATGATAAATGAGCGATGCAGGCTGACTGCAGGGTAACAGGCCAAGCGGAGACTGCTTCTCAACCCTGGCGGGTAGGAGAGGCAACCATCATGTTTCTCTCTCACATCGCGTCTCTCTCCCAGTCTCCCTTCCTTCTCCCTTCTCTCTCTTAGAACAAACAAACATCCGGGCAGGACACGATGCCTGTCAGGCCACTTCAGTGGGTGTTAGTTATCTCGTGTTCAAGCCCTGGGAACAGCCCGGGTCTCAACGTCCTGACACCCCATTGGTCTAATTGTTAGGTGATCTTGGTTTTGACACCGTGTCCTCCAGACGGACGTCTGCCCCGCCCACCCAGCGCCAATCGGTTATGAACATGTGCTTATGCGGAGGATACTTAGTATAGTTATTAACTGATCAGGAAATAAGATGGGATAAAGTGGGAAAATCCCGAAAACGTTTGTGACCGGGTATTTTTCTCCAAAAGAGGACAGGAATCGATCTTAAAGGGACGGGTACAGTCTTCCTTTTCGCCTTACCTGGCTTTGCTAACACCGCCCTGGGAAGCTAAAGCACAGGGCGTGTCTGTCACTTGCTCTTACGCGTCTTTTCATGCATTTTTTTTTTTTTTTTTACAACTGTGCGTGGGTCCGGCTCCACTAGCAGGAGGCTGGTGCAGAGCAGAACGTGCAGCAGACGGACAGCAGGCAGGCTCCGCCCTCCTTCCCAGCAGCGCTTTCTCCAGCCTTTCCAGCGCTTTCTTAAAGGGGCAGGGAGGGGCGAAACCAGAGGGCGCCCTGACCTCGCTTTGTAAAGAGATGTCACGTTCTGATTTCTAAAATATTCATTATTAAACCATTTATAACACTTGGGGCCAATCACACTTCTACGCACTGGGCATAGAGTGCTTTGTAACATAGAGTGTTCACTCTTTATGATACTTACATTGAACTGCAACTAAATAATAATGTAAGCCTCCCTTTTATAATTAATGCTAATAAATGTACAATATAAACCTTCTTGCAATTTAAATCAGTCAAGTTCTGGACCCAGATGTCCACCTTCCAACCAGACTCAGATATCCCACTGGTCCCTCAATTCAACATATTCCAAAATTAATTCACCATCTCACCTGACCACAGTTAAAGCCTGCTCCACGTGTGCCAAGGTGGGGGGAGGGGGGGAATGGTCTCAAACCAAGAACTAGGCAAACCATGTTTTTTCTTCTAACATGGTAGTTTGGCAGCTGTCTGTTCAAAACTAAAGCTTGTTGCTTGGGTACTCTCCTTCTGCCTTCTTTAGAGATGGGGTTTCTGCTGCTTCTGTAAACTGGAACCTGGTAAACAGAAATGAAACTGTTATTCCTATGAACAGTGCAAGGTGCATCCCCACCATCAGCTTCTTAGATGAATATAGCATATTTATTTCTGATAGGCTACACACCTGGCATTTCACAGTATTCTGCTTTCATTTCCTCTATAATTACTAGTACGGTGTTTCTATGCCTGTGAATAAAACTATAGTCATTAATGTACTAGCTGCTTTTTTTATTAACTGCTTACATAAACCTTTGTTTTCTCAACTATAACTCCTCAACTCCATACACTCACCAATTCTCTTGCAAACAATAAACTGTAATACATGTCCAAGATCAATTTGTCTAAGAATTGTTTCTAACCAGCTTGTGTTGTATTCCAGTGAATGGCAAGAACATCCCAATCATCACCCAAGAAGCCAGAGAGAGAAAGCAGGGCTAATATTTCCAGTGAAAATTTTGATGATCATCAAAATCATCATCAAAATTTTGATGATCATCAAAATCATCATCAAAATTTTGATGATCATCACTGCAGATGAATTTAAGAGTGCAAAGAGACCTTATCCAAAACTTGGAACTAGGCTAGAGAGATTGCTAGATCCTTTCCTTCCCTTCCTAGTTTTAGACTTTAGCTTTGATTCACTTCTTTCCGCCCTCCCCCCCACCGCCTCCCATTGCCTTATTTCTTCCTAGTGAGAGCTTGCCTGAAGTCCTCTAACTGGGCTCTCTCTCCAATCCTGCCTTCTTCTAACCCACACTTTATACTGCAGTTCAAATGGTCTTTTCTGAAATTTACATTCTTACAGTTCAGAAAAGGCCTTACATTCCTATAGTCCCAGATAAGCCAGAAAAAAAACAGACACCTCCGTTTTCTGGTATTGTTTGGTGTTAAATGTTGCTGTTTTTTAATTGAAAGAAATTTTTAATTGCTTTTATCAAAATTGACCTAAATACAACCAAGCAGACTTACCATCTGATAACAATTGGCACTGTCTCTGACCTTGCGATTGTGGTGGCCCAGAAGGAATCACCCTGAGGTGTGCCTCTGTGGTATGCAGACTGTTCTGAGCTCAAGGTAACGTTAGCCACAGGCTCAAGAAAAACTTCTTAACTACCTAGAAGAATTTGAATTAGAGGCCTTGCCTATAAGGGATTAACAGAGATAACTTCTTTTGACCTATCTATAGGGCAGGCAAACTTCTTTTTGCTAAAGGTCTATTGTTCTTAACCTGCAGTGGCCTCTTGAAGCCCCCAAGGCCCCTCACCTCCTCCCTCGCTCACACATCTTGTATGCCCATGTTTCCTCTCTATCCCTGAACCTCCCAAGGAGGTTGGGTAGAGACCCAAGTCTGTTATCTATGCGAAGTTATGTATGACTGTTATATATGTGAAGTTTCCATTCTTATGTATGTATTAAATTGTTATTTCCTTTTGCTAACCTGTCTTGTGAAGAACCTTGAGTGAAAAGGAAAGTTCCTCCCCCACATGATTTTTGCTTTTAACTATCAGCCTATATTTTTGATCAGAGAGCTGGTTCTCTGAAAACAGATCTTTCTTGCAAGTGCAAGTCAAAAAAAATTTTATTTCATACTCAAATTTGTGTTTAAATAGCTTTTTTAAATTTTTTGAATTTAATTTATTTATTTTTAGAGGGAAGGGAAGGAGAAAGAAAGGAAGAGAAATATTAATTTCTCACTCACGTGCCCACTACTGGGGACCTGGCTTGCAACCAGGTATGTGCCCTGACTGGGAATTGAACCAGTGATCCTTTGGTTTGCAGCCTGCACTCAACCCACTGAGCTAGACCAGCAAAGTGTTTTTGTTTTTGTTTTAATTAGATGTATGACCTCAGGTAATTATTAAACCTTCCTATTTGAGCATAAGAATTCTTTTGGCCTGAGGGCAGTCGAGTTCCTGAAATCCCTCATCTGCCTAAAGCAGGGACTCCGGAAAGAACTCAGTTGTCATAATCCTCCTTTCTGGGAGCAACTCTTGTCTTCTTGATTTGAAAAGTAGACACCACACCTAAACAGACATCTTCACCAGACTATCTCCCATCTATCCTCCTAAAGGAGAATTTATCTTTTTCTCCATTTATCTTTCTAAAAAGTCATTCCCATACGTGCCCTTTCTCCCCTTCCCTGTTACCTACTAAGTTAGGTGCATAAGCCTCAAATTCTAACCACCCCTTTGAGTTACTCATCACTGAATTCTCCCACATGTATGTGTGTTGCATGTGTAAATTCTGTTTTTTCTCTCATTGATCTTTTGTCAGTGTAATTCCTGTGTCCCAGACACTGAACATATGAGGGTAGAGGAAACTTTTTCCTCCCCTACAGTCAGTTTTCTCATCTGTAAAGTGTTGATAATAATGATAATGTATTAGAGAATTAATAAGACAAAAGTAGTGTTTAGCACAAGTTACTAGCATATAGTAAATGCTTGGTAAGTGCCCTATTACTTTGATTATTATTATTATTAGAAATGCAGAGATAGTGTTGGTTAAGGGGCAAGACTGGATGCTGAAGATCAGGTTTCAGCTTGAGTTTGCGAAAAATATTGAAGCTGCAGGTGCAAATAGTTTAGAGAGAGGCAGGACCGAAGACAGGAGACCACAAGTTCGAGGATAGCATGACACTCCAAGCAATAATGAGGATCACAACTAAGGCAATTGCAGCAGGGATGGAAAGAACTGGACACTAAACTAAAATTGTAAATATATTCCTAATAAAATATTGCCACTTCAGTTAGTTTTCCGATCAGCATGGAAAGGCAACCAACAGATAAACTGCACCCAAGCAACTGTGACTTGCCCTGAAATCCCAGAATGTGTTTCTCTTCAGACTTTCAAATCATTTGTGGTTTTGGGTTTTTTAGAGCTTCAGCTTCTTTCTGGCTTTCTCTCTCCACCAAACTTCCCTTGCAACAAATCTGTAGCACCATGTCTGTGTGACTGCTGTACGTTTCCTTTTATTGGTTTCTTATCTACTATTGGAGGTTAACAATCTTCTAATTAGTCACTAGGTAAACTTCTAAACCCAGGCTCCTAAAAATGCTCATGCCTAAAAATGCTGATTGCTGGCTCTTTGAGATCAGTTTGCTATAAAAGATACTGCGCTCGCACTGAGAATTGAAACCTTCAATGAACTAAAGCTATAGTGCCATCTAGCGATAATTTAGCTTAGTATTGTCCAGCTGTATCCGTTAAAATGGTTTTTAAAAAGTGTACTTCTAATCATGATAGTGGTGTAAGCAGACTTGGCTCACCTCTTTGCACAACCGCTTCAAAACTACAACTAAAATATAGAACAGCCATTTCTCAGTACCATCAGAAATCGAGTTGAATGGAAGTCTGACAACTACGGAATTAAAGAAACCACATCGTTCCAGACTGGCAGGAGGTTGGCAGACATGGGATGGGCAGGTCCCTCACTCACTTGTGGTGGATAAAAACTCAGGAGGGATATCTCAGGAGTGAGGAGTCCCAGCCCCACACCAGGCCCCCCAGCCCAGGGTTCCAGTGCCAGTAAGATCTGTCCCCTCAACTTCTGGCTACAAAAACTAGCAAGGATTAAGTCAGTGGAAGAAACTTCTGGAGGCCCAAACAGTTCCCCCCCAAGAACCCACGCATGGACCCACTTACTCAGACTCCCTCCGTCTGAGCTCCAGCACCAGGGTAGCAGCTTGAAAGGCACGAGTGGTATACAGGGAGAAACTGAAGTGTCTGGCATCAAGGAGAGCAGAGGCCACTGTACCTTTTCTAAACCCTACCCTGACCAAGCCAGCAAGCTGGTGCCACATCCGAGAGTCCATCAACCTGGCTAACACTATTTGACCTGCCTTGGAGATCCCCAGAGACTATGGCCCACACAACTTAAGGGCCCACCCAAGCTGCTTTTTCATATGTATGGCTGGTCTTGGCTTCTGCTTCATGATGTCCTAAATCCTCTCAAATAAGCAACAGCTGGCCTCAGTGAGCCTCGGGTCCAGCATTAGCAGCAGCCAGCCTAGATTCACAGCTTGGCTTTGCCTGGGAATCTTCAAGCCCAGCACAAGTAGCAGCCATCTCAGGTTGCTTTATAGCTCAGGCAGAGTGGCTCTAGGGAAAACACCGGTGGGGGTTGACCTTGGCCTGCACCACCTGGGAAATTCCAGGGTCAGCACACCCAGTGCATAGCCACAGACCATACAGGAGTACCACCACCCTGTCCCTGCATAGCTGATCCTCCAAGGAGGGTGGAAGTTGGTGGTCTATGGTCACAGCCAGTACTTGCCACTGATTGGCTTTGGTAAATCCCTCCCATTGATCTGCCAACAGCAACCAAAGTTCAACTAAAAGAGGAGCATGTACTCAGCACACACTAAAGGTGCACCTGGATACCCTGCTTGGGTGATAGGGGAGGCTGTGCCACTGGGCCCTATAAGACACCTACTACATGAGACCACACTACTGAGACACAGAGTCAAAGCAGCTCTACCTAATACATAGAAACAAACACAGGGAGGCTGCCAAAATGAGTAGACAAAGAAATATGGCCCAAATGAAAGAAGAGATCAAAACTCCAGAAAAAGAGCTCAGTGAAATGGAGATAAGCAATCCATCAGATGCAGAGTTCAAAACACTGGCTATAAAAATGCTCAAGGGACTTAGAACCTCAACAGCATAAAAATGACCCAGTCAGAAATGAAGGATACACTAATCAAAGTAAAGAACAATTTATAGGAAAACGACAATAGAGTAGATGAAGCCAAGAATCAAATCAATGATATGGAACATCATATCATGGATTTGATATGTGATTTGATATGAT